CAAACTCAGACCAGCAGCTGTGTCTGCGCAACCAAAAGACGTGAATAGAACTGCATGCACCAAGATGTATGGTGGTGTGCATCCTTGTGCATCCCATGCAGGCAAAGACAGCCCTTTAAACAGATGTGTGCTTAAGTATACCTGTGTGCATAAGGCCTAAGGCCCCTTTCACATGGGGCAGACTCTTTTTTGATCCCCAGAGGATCTGTCCACTGATCCCCTGCTGATCAGAGCAGAGCAAGTTTTGATGACAGGTCCATGACTACTCAGTTTATGCACAGCGGTCACGGACAGAGCCCTCTCTGCTCTATTGGCACCTGCGTGTAAACTGACTGCGCTACCCGTTTATACTTGATTGCCCTCATATCCGATCTGCCTAGATGGATCCCCTTCCATTTATGTTTTCAGATTGGAGGTAGGCGGGTGTAAATGGACACAAGTAATAGAGGTGAATGGACTGTCCGATAATTTCCGCCTGAAAAACTGACAGGCGTGCCTAATCAGACCCTTCATGTGAAAGGGGTCTTTAGGCACAAACCAATTCATGTTCCACTCACCCCTGCACCTGTCTCTGAGTTGGTTCTACCTTCACTAACTGCACCACTACCACTAGAGAGGTCAAAACTAACTGCTGATTGTGAATGACACATGTTTACCTCCCTGCTGCAAGGAAGATTATCTGTCATCTCAGTGCTGTAGAAAGTGCCGAATCATGCTACTCCATTCTGTATGTTGTAGACAGATAGCCTTCTGTCATTTTCTGAGTGTTGCTGCCACTAATAGTTGGGCACTGTCATATGCGGTACACATCCCACATGCAGTAGGCTTTGGAACATTTTCAAGTAAGTATTTATACAAATTTTGCAGTCTGTGTATTTCATAGCATTTGTTTATGTTTTATTACTATGGTTCATACACACATACACACACTATGTGTTGCTTGCTTAGTCCTAATGGATGCACATGGTTTTCTGAGCAACATGCTCTATTTCAAAAGCTATTTACTTTGATGTTAAAGGGAATTTGGGCTTAAAACATTTAACCTTTAAACCACAGAGAAATTTTATGACGGGAGACATATGATGAATTAACCCATTCACTGACAGCCATTCCTTCCTTCCAATTCTGCACCATTTTTATGTGCATACTGCAGTTTACAGCCTTGGAAGTTTAAAAAAGACCCCCACCCCCACTCCAAATCATTTATTTTCTGAAAGTACAGGCACTATTGAATGAAACAATAATACTGTTGATTTCTAATGTACATATTAGTTGCACAAATGATTAAATCTTTTGCTGCCAGAGCCATTTTTGCACACATATTTAAAAAAAACATTTTAGGCCTGAGGATTATACAAAACCCCTAAAACATTTATATATTTTCTGACAACAGACACCCTAGAGCAGGAGGTCTCCAAACTTTAAAAAAAAAGGGCCAGTTTAGTGTCCTGAAGACTTTAGAGGGGCTGCACTGCAACCATCAGGAGTAGAAAATGTCCTAGCATCATTTGGAGTAAACAATGCCCCATCCTTGGTATCATTGGGAGGAATTGGGCCCCATCATTGGTGTAATTGGGTCCCATCATTGGTGTCATTGGTAAGAATAGTGCACCATCATTAGTGTCATTGGGAGGAATTGTGCCCCATCACTGGTGTGATTGGGAGGAATTGTGCCCCATCACTGGTGTGATTGAGAGGAATTGTGCCCCATCACTGGTGTGATTGGGAGGAACTGTGCCCCATCACTGGTGTCAGTGGGAGGAACTGTGCCCCATTGTTGGTGTCATCATGGAGGAATTTTGCCCCATCACTGGTGTCATTGGAAGGAATTGTGCCCTGTCATTGGGAGGAATTGGGCCCCATCGTTAGTGTCATTGGCAGGAACTGTGCTCCATTGTTGGTGTTATTGGGAGGAACTATGGCCCCTCATTGGTGTCATTGGGATGAACTGTGCCCCTTTGGTGTCGGTGAATGAAATGGTGCCCCAAGGGCAGGATTAAACCAAGCAAAGGGCTGCAGTTTAGAGACCACTGCCCTAGAGAATAAAACAGTGGTAGTTCCAAAATTTTAGTGTTACACAATATTACTGCAATGGTCTAGGAAATGCAAAATTTCAGTAAAAAGAAATGCTAAAGTGAATTTTAGGGCAAACAAAGGCAATAAATTATCCATATGTTTGGTAAAATATAAAAGACAAGCCGAGTAAATAGACACCCAATATGCCAAACCTTAAATTTCTGTGCACCTATGAAATGGTGACAAACTTCAGTACCTTATATTTTGTATAGGTGACTCTTCAAAGGCCCCTACAGGTCATCAGTTTAGTGTTATGGAGAAGGCCGTGTGCTAGAATTATTGCTCTCACTCCGGTGTGCACAGCGTTATGTAACATGAATCTCAAAGTTTTCACGCTTAGGCTCTCTGCCGTGTGCGTTTACATTCATACATGCGTATATATGGGGTTGGGGGGCCTCAACATTTTTTTTTGGGAAGGGGGGTGTTATGTGCTTGGGTGTAACTTTATTTTTTATGCAATTTTTTTTTTTACTTAACTTTTTTCACAAGTCCCCTATGTGAAGATTTTTAGATGACAGGTTCTCTTTATTGAGACATGCAGGGATTAAAAGACACTGTATGTCTCCTATGGGCTCCACTCAATGCATTGCAATGCAGACTGCATTGCAATACATTGCTTCATACATTGTGCTAGCTGAGAAAGTGACAGCAGTGACGTCACACATGTTTGTCCTCTCTACTCCCCACCATGGCTTTTCCCGAGCCTGCAGATGGGAAAACGGACCCAGATACATGGCGGGAGCTAGTTCGTGCGGTGCGGGGTGGTAGCACAGCTGACTGACTGTTTCCATCTGACAGGCAGGAATCTGGATAGTGTATAAAACCCCCCTGCTGTCAGGTCCATATGACGTACGAACCTGGCAGCAAAAGGATTAAAATAAAATACAACCTAATCTTTAACATTAGCATTAAATATAAAAGGATAACGCATACAAAAAAAAGATAATAAACATGTTGTGGTTACCTGCTCTTGCACTGCTATTGCACATAGCAGCCCCAATCCTCTTCTTCTCGGATGCCCCACTGATGCTCCTGGCTCCTCTTCCTTCAGAGAGTGCCCACCATAGAAAGACTTTCTATGGGGCACTTATGCAGGCTCACTCCCAAGTCATCCTGTGTGTCTATAGACACAGACAATGCGGCTCAGCCCCACCCCCTGCTCCCTCATAGCAGAATTTGATTGACAGCAGCGGGAGTCAATGGCTACTATCAATCTGTCCAGTGAGGAGGGAGAGAGCGGAGAGAGAGTCACTGCTCTTGTTCACAGTGCTGGATTAGGATCAGGCTCAGGTAAGTATAGGGTGGGGGTAATCCTTTGGCACAGAGGGATGTTTGTCTTGATGCATAAGTAATGCCCTCTTGTGTAAGATATTTTTTTTTGTGCATAGTTAGAGGCTTGCTAACGCCTGGGTATGAGTCAATGACGTTACTTCAGATTAAGGCTGTAGGGCTCTACAGGTTAGTTCTCTGATACCTCACCTTGCTCTAGAAGATTCTAGAAGCCAGTAGGCTGGGGTAAGAAGGGGCTGATCTGCATACTTAGGGGAATCTGGCCAATCCCCAGGCAGGAGACTTGGCATAGTGGCTAGGTCAGCCCTTAAATATGAGAGAGCATGGTCAGCAGGGGAGTTGGGTGGAAGGCCAAGTGAGGAAGTGCTGCTGATGTGAGTCTGGGAGGGGACCCCAGAGGAGGGGGGGCATCTGCCTACAGGCTGAAGCTGAACAGAAGGACCTCCACTGTCCCACAGTCTACCGGGAAAGACAGTCTGTTAGCAGGGAAGGAGCCAGCCCAGCGAAAGGTCTGAAAACAGCGTCAACCTTTAAAGTGACAGGACAGTGTGAGTACTTCTACATCCCCTAGGCCAAAGAAGGGGAAGGCCAGTCTGGTGCAATACCCAACTAGTTCTCCCTGGGAGTACATTATTTAAGTGTCTCGGAATACCTTGTCCTGGGATACTCTCAAGTTGGATGAGATTTTCATCTAGAGTCTGAGGAGGTACATTTGTAAAGGCTCTCTGCTAATCTGTCAGAAGGGAAATGTGACTCCTGAAGAGAAGAATGTGTAGGATCCATTTTGTGCTGTTTTCTGGATTCTTGCCATTTTGCCTAAGGCACTTGTCCTCCAAATTGGTCAGTTCCATTAGGCATTCCCTATACCCCTAGATCCCTTCAAAGTTGTTAACCCCTAATAAAACAATAAAAACCAAGCTCATGCACTGTTTACTGACTTTGAATGAAGGTGTGGAAAATCAAGGTTATAGAACCACTTTAAGGCAAGAAATACAGTATGTACTTACATTTAAAGGGGAATTGCACTTTTATTAAAAAAAAAATATATATATATAGATAGATGTACCTGTAGGTAGGCCCCCTTTCAGACTCCACACTCCAACCTCTCACTCCATCTTCCACCCGACACTTCTCCTTTCCACTCAAGTGCTGCGTTACTTAAAGGTTGCCTTGGTCACCATGCCCAGCCTCCTACCAGGGAAATGGCCAAGGATCCACAAGTATGCATATCCAAGCTTCCTCCCCTACTCCATCCATCCACAACAAAGCTCTCAGGTTTCTGGAAGGGTGGGAGGGCTCCAGAAGCTATGAACTTCGGACCCTCCCTAGCCTGTCCTGAGGTGAACTCCTGCCTCACTCACAGACTGACTCATCCCAGGCTGCTACTCAGTCTCTTCCTAAAAAATAAAACCTCAAACTGCTATCTGGCTAACCTGGAGCTTGTTATAAGAGTATGAATTATTAACTACTACTCTCTGAATACGATCTTTTAGCCAGTTTTCTATCCATTTACAAACTGATTTTTCCAAACCTGTAGACTTTACCTTACCCATTAGCTGTGTGTGGGGAACTGTCTCATATGCTTTTGCAAAATCCAAGTATACTATTTCCACAGCCACTACTTTGGCTAAGGTTTTGCTTACCTCCTCATAAAAAGAAATCAAATTTGTCTGACAACTTCTGTCTTTTATGAATCCATACTGTTACGTAAAATAATTTTTTTTTTTAGCAAAAACTCACCTATGTGGTCTTTTGTAAAATCTCCAGCAGGGGCGGACTGACCATTTGGAAACTCGGGTACTGCCAGTAGAGTAGGGTCAGTAGGGGGCCCCATGAGGTGCCCCTGGTACCTTTTTCATAGGCTTTTTTGAGTTTGGGCAAGGACACAGGGTGTAAGGGATTTCTGGCAAAAAGAACTGCGATCGGGAACGCGCATGCGCGAAAGAGATTCCGCAGAAGAGCTGCCAGTTGTGCGCAGGCGCGCAGGAATGCGCGATCGCGCACATGCACGCATGGTGAAGATTGGCGCCAGACGGGCTATTTAAAGAGGGCTTCTGCTCTGGTTCAGTGTTGACTGGTCTTCAGCTCCCCCCCTGTGTCCTGCTTGCTCCTGTACGATTCCTTATTGCTGACCCGGCTTGTTCCTGACCCGACTCTGATTACTCTCCTGCTCCTGGTTCCTCACTTCGGCTCTGCTCCTGACTTTGGCTTTTCCTACTGATTCTGTGCCCCGCTGCCCGCCTGTTGATGACCCTGGCTATCCTATGACCCTGCTCCTGTCCTGTATCCTGGCTACCTACATTGCTCTGCTGCACATCAGACATTTCCCAGAACCTGCTCTGTCTGCTACTACAGTACTCAAATCAGAGGATACTCTGCCTACCAAGGGCATCATCTGCAAGAGCCGCAAGCAACAACCACTGGTGCTCTTGTCCCCCTGGTCCCTAGACTCCCTCTGTTCCAACCTCAGCAAGGTCAGGGCAAGTGACACGTGAGGCCGACCTCATCAATTCAGTCTCCTATCAGGTACGTGACACAGAGGCCCCATGATCCCCTATTGCTCGGGGGCCCTATGAGTTGTCAGTCCGCCCCTGATCTCCAGTAACTTCCTGACTATAGAGTTAAATTAACTGATCTGCTGTTACTTGGTAAAAACTTTGACCCCTTTTTAAATATAGGCACCACATTGGCCTTATACCAGTCATTACCCACTTGTCAAGCACGCTATAGCCGAATGATAGCTATAGCGCGGTAGCTATGTCTAATCACAGCGGATCACAATGTAAACACACTTGCCAGTTATCAGCAGCACTTTCCTCACACTGTCACAGCATGATTAAAGTACTGCTGATAACTGGCAAGTGAGACATCTGCACTGATAATCAGGGCACTGATTGGCAGTGCTCTGATTATCAGCACAGCCCCAACAATGCCCATCAGTGCCGTATATTAGTGCCCTTTATTGCTGCCCATCAGTGCAGCCTCATCAATGCCGCCTCATCAGTGCCCACTGGTGCTGCCTCATTAGTGCCCATCAGTGCGGCCTATCAGTGCCCATCAATACAGACTCATCAGTGCACATCGTGAAGGAGAAAAATTACCTGTTTGCTAAATTTTATAATAGAAACTAAGAAAAAAAATTTTTTCAACATTTTTGATACTTTTTCATTTGTCTAGCAAAAATAAAACAACCAGTGGTGATTAAATACCACCAAAAGAAAGCCTATTAGTGTGAAATAAATTATAAAAAAAGTCACATAGGTACAATGTTGCATGACAGCACAACTGTCATTTAAAGTGTGACAGAGCTGAAAGCTGAAAATTGGCCTGGGCAGGAAGGGGGGTAAACGTGCCAGGTAGGCAATTGGTTAAAAAGTCTCTAAATATTAGAAACAATGGCTTTAAAATGATTGATAGAGCTAAATTCTTTTAGGACCTGTGGGTGTATGACATCCAGGTGCTTTATTCACCTTTTATTCTGTCTAAACATTTCTGGACCATAATAATTTTGAGCTATTGTGGATCATTTGTGGATATCAATACCATGCCCATTATGGACAAAAGTTCCCCCATGCCCCTTTGTATACACAGAGCTGAAGAAGGTATTTATTAAATTTGCCTTCTCTTTGTCCCCTGTAACCCACTCTAGAATATTTTGTAAAGGACCTACATACTCAGACCTGACCATTTTACTATTCGTATATTTGATAACTTTTGGGGGGCTTGTTCTACTTTCTTTTGCAATCTGTCGTTTGTTTTGAATTTTTGTGGCCCGGTTATATTCTTAGTAACATTTAAACGATGACAGTGTTCTTTCGTTTCTATATTTTTTAAAAACTCTTTTCTTATTATTTATAGCTTTTTTAACATTGGCGTTGAGCAATATAGGTTTTATTTTTAGCCTTTTAAAATTATTGCCTATGGGAATATATTTTTCAGTGTGTTCACATACAGAGTTTTTGAAGAATTACAATTTCTGTTCTTTGTTCTTCAATGCCAATATTCTCCCCCAATCTAAGTCTTGTAGAGCAGCGCTCTGCCTTGGAAATTTTGCTCTTTAAAAGTTGAGTGATTTTATCTTTTCAGTATGTGCTTGTTGTTTACAGCTACACTGTAACACCCTGCTATAAGTGTTGATGCGGGATGTTAAAATAAACACAAGATGGAAGTGTGCCTGCACAACAGTGGCATTCACACTCTGTAAAGCAGCCCCATGAAACTTATACTGTGAACTGCAGGACTTTATTAACTGTTTCCCCTCCACCCTATAGCAGAAGTACTACTACAGGGCAGCATGGCTGCGCAAAATCACATATATATACGTGATTTGCATTTCTGGGTAGGAGGGCACCATTGGCGGCTACAGATCAATCCCCAGGTCCTGGCCGGAAATTCCCCGCCGGCACCTGGCGATCATCGAGTAACACTGACAGGGGAGAGACCTGTGTGTGTAAACAACACGTCTCTCTCCTTCCAGCATTAACATGCTGCTGTGTATTTCTCTGCACAGCAGCATGTTTCCCTAGTAAAACACACACAGCACACGATGTAAAACAGCACACAGTTAACCCTTTGATCGCCCAGATTTTAACCCCTTCATGCTCAGTGTCATTAGTACAGTGTCATTGCTTTTTATTAGCACTGATCAGTGTATTCGTGTCATTGGGATGTCAGTGGCAGTTATTCAGTCCCCCCCCCCAGTGTCAGAATGTCCACCTCAGTCCCGCTATAAGTCACTGATCGAACATGCAGCGCTAATAAAATTCTAAAATTGAAACAAGCGATCATAAAATGCAATAGTCAAAACAATAACAATCTAATCACTGCTTGATTATAATTATAAGAAGGATAATGGAATATAATTAGCGTCCAGAGATATGCTCTATAATGATGAATGAATATATCATCATTATAGAGCATATCTCTGGACGCTAATTATATGCCATTATCCTTCTTATAATTATAATCAAGCAGTGATTAGATTGTTATTGTTTTGACTATTGCATTTTATGATCGCTTTTTTCAATTTTAGAATTTTATTAGCGCTGCATGTTCTATTTTATACATTTATTATGGAGGCTCCTGGTGTTCGCCTTTCATGCTAATCGCTCTTTGGTGGTTATCCAGCGCTCGTATTTTTTCTGTTTTTAACCACTTGCCTACCAGGCACTTATACCCCCTTATTTACCAGCCCAATTTTCAGCTTTCAGCGCTGCCGCACTTTGATTGACAATTGCGCGGTCATGCAACATTGTACCCATATGAAATTTTGATCATTTTTTTCTCACAAATAGAGCTTTCTTTTGGTGGTATTTAAACGCCACTGAGCGCTTTACTTTTTGCGCAATAAATAAAAAAATTGCAAAAAATTTGAAAAAAAAAAAAAGTTTCTTTGTTTCTATTATAAAATTTTTCAAACAGGTAATTTTTCTCCTTCACTGATGTGCGTTGATGAGGCAGCACTGATGGGCACTAATAGGCGGCACTGATAGGCAGCACTAAAGGGCACTGATAGGCAGTACTAATGAGGTGGCACGGATAGGCGGCACTGATAGACAGCACTAATGAGGTGTCACGGATAGGTGGCACTAATATGCAGCACTGATAGGCGGCACTGATAGGTGACACTGATGATGGGTACTGATAGACGGCACTGACTGGCATCACTGCTGGGCACTGACTGGCGGCACTGACTGGCACAACCGCTGGGCACTGACTGGTGGCACTGACTGGCAGCACTGCTGGGCTGCACTGGTGGAGGGCACTGGTGGGCAGCACTGGTGGCTGGGCACAGGTGGGTGGCACTGCTGGGCATAGGTGGGTGGCACTTCTGGGCACAGGTGGGTGGCACTTCTGGGCACAGGTGTGTGACACTGCAGAGTGGCACAGGTGGGTGCACTGCTGGGCACAGGTGGGTGCACTGCTGGGCACAGGTGGGCGGAGCTAGTGGGCGCACTGCTGGGCACAGGTGGGCGGAACTTGCGGGTGGCACTGCTGGGCACCGATCATCAGGGCACTGATCATCAGTGCCCTGATGATCGGTGCCGATCCCCGCTCTGACAACTGCCGGTTCTCGGCAGTGATCTGACAGCGTGAGGAAAGTGCAGCCGAGATCCGGCACTTGCATTTCCCTCTGATCAGGTGTCATTGGACACGGCTGATCAGCTGGTAAAAGGCCGCTGTGATTGGCCTTTTACCACATCACGTGATCAGCTGGTCCGTAGGACACAGCGATGGAGATCGCCGGGTGCGCGCCCCCTGGGGCGCGCAGGAGAGCGCACAGGACGCCATATGACGGTCAGAACTGGCCGGCCGCAGTGCAGCCGTCATTCGGCTATCTGCGGTCGGCAGCTAGTTAATAAGTCACTGATCGCCGCCATTACTAGCCACCATTTGTAGACGATATACCTGTAAACCAATTAATTTACATTTATTTTTTTTAGCAAAGTCATGTAGCACAATACATTTTGGCCTAAATTTATGATGAAATTAGATTTTTAAAATATTTTTACAGGATACAAAAAGTCAGAAATATTGTTTTTTTTTTTTTTAAATTGTCAGTGTTTTTTTGTTTATAGCACAAAAAATAAAAACAAAATAAAAAGGACATGTACAGTGTTGCATGACTGCACAATTGTCAGTTAAAGTAACACAGTGCCGTATCGCAAAAAATGACCTGGTCAGGAAGGGGGGTAAATCCTCTGGAGCAGTGTAATAAAGAACTACATCCCAGAGGAGCTGGCGTGTAGGTGGAGTCATATACAGTGGGGATCGAAAGTTTGGACACCCCAGCTAAAAATTTGTATTAATGTGCATAAAGAAGCCAAGGAAAGATGGAAAAATCTCCAAAAGGCATCAAATGATTAGACATTCTTATAATATGTCAACAAAAGTTAGATTTTATTTCCATCATTTACACTTTCAAAATAACAGAAAACAAAAAAATGGCATCTGCAAAAGTTTGGGCACCCTGCAGAGTTAATATCTTGTACTGCCCCCTTTGGCAAGTATGACAGCTTGTAAACGCTTTTTGTAGCCAGCCAAGAGTCTTTCAGTTCAGGTATCTTTGCCTATTCTTCCTTTCAAAAGTCTTCTAGTTCTTTAAGATTTCTGGGCTGTCTGTCACGCACTGCTCTTTTAAGGTCTATCCATAGATTTTCAATTATGTTGAGGTCAGGAGATTGTGAAGGCCATGGCAAAACCTTCAGTTTACACCTCTTGATGTAATTCGAGGTGTGTTTAGGATCATTATCCATTTGTACAAGCCATCCTCTCTTTAACTTTAGCTTTTTCACAGATGGCATCAAGTTTACCATCCAAAATTTGCTGAAATTTTATTGAATCCATTTTTTCTTCTACTCGTGAGATGTTCCCTGTGCCACTGGCTGAAACACAACCCCAAAGCATGATTGATCCAACCCCATGCTTAACAGTTGGACAGAGGTTCTTTTCATTAAATTCTGTGCCCCTTCTTCTCCAAACGTACCTTTGCTCATTCCAGCCAAAAAGTTCAATTTTAACCTCATCGGTCCACAGAACTTGTTTCCAAAATGCATCAGGCTTGTCTACATTTGCA